AATATATTTTGAGAAATTCGACAAGTCATTTCGAGAAAAATATTCTAAAGATCACGATAATCATTCAATGGATTCGTGATCGGCATAAAGGCGAGTAAAACGATTTTAGATCGTAAAAATAAAAATAATAATAATAATTCAAGTTTCGAGGTCGATGACCTCCCCCTTACGAATTCATATCGGAGTTTTATGCAGTGTGATACATAAATAAAAAATACCTTTATTCGTCAAAGAGTATATTAAAATTGCATGTATCATGGCTGTTCGATAGTTTAAAATATCGAGAATATAAAATATTTATAAGAAAAACGCACAGAAATTCAAATATATTCGGTTAAAAAAACGATTATTCTTGGTAAATTTCTTAAAATTATAACTTAAAAGATGAATTTTTTAAAAATTTTAACATATAAAAAAAGGAGATTTGTATCGATTAATTCGGAAAATTTGCCATTCATCTTTAATCAGTTCGAAAGGAATGGAGTTTCTTATCGTAGATTCTCTATAATTTGATGTTTCTTTCACGTCTGTTGTAATGTCTAAATTATACGTCAGAGCATTTTTATTATTGTTGCATTTCGAAATTTTTATCTAAAAAAATCTGATTAATTGTAGAAAAAGTGCGAAAAATGAATGGAAGTTGATAATTAACGTCTTATTAGTTTGACCGCAATTGGATAAGTGGATAAGAGGAGAAAGATAATAATGGGTTATTAACAGACATTTCTCCCTAGCTAATTGTCTATGACAAGTAAAATAATATTATTCGCATGCAAAAATAGGCCCTACATATTTTAATATCGAATGGAATAATCGCTATCTCGTAAATCGTCTTCCGATTTGTGTTAAGAAGAAAAACAACTTTTTCTCTCGGCACAGACAAGAAACTATGGAGTGTAAAGTTACAATCCTTTAATTAGATTCTGATCCTGACCTCGTAACTTCAACGGGCAATGTCACGTGACAGGGGAGCATCGAATAGCGAGAGCTGGCACATTGCACTTACAACTGTTCATCCGAATGGAAAACACACACACAAACACACTAAGAGCTCATTTAACGGTAATTTAATTAGCTTTCTCTCCGTTCTAGTTTTTACGTATGTAAGTAAATATTAAAGTATTAGACGATTCGAACTAGNTACAAAATAAATTTAAAGAAAAATTATTTAATTAAAGTGTTCTTAATATACAGCAGACCTATATAAACAACAATTATTTTTAGGAAATATCACATAATGTTTGATTCAATTTACAATAATATCCGTTAATAAACCATGCTGTAGGTGGAAAATAAGTTCATTCAAATCCATTTGATAGTTTTAATGAGTAAAAATTGAAACAAAACTCATTTTTCTTAATTCTCTAAACCCAATTCTGTGTGGAAAATTTCATTATTTTTATGCTTATTTTCATTACATTTGCTTTCTTAACTAATTCTTAAATTCAAATAATACGATAATCATTTTACTATTATAGATAACAGAGGGAAAGTATGACAATCCAACAAAAAATAACCCCCAAGATTTTTACATTTTTGGACTCAGAGGACCTTCAGACGTGAGAAATGCAAAAAAATTAGTTGGTAATTTCTGTATGTATGGATGTTAGTGTGTATGGGTATGGTGTGGCATAATTTTGTTCACCCTGTTTTAAGCTTAATAACTCTTATACTTTTTGTCAAAAATTGCTGAAATTTTGCAAGGTGGTTTGCTTATTAGGGTTATTGACGCTACTAAATTTTGGTGGTTAAAGGTTGCGGGAGTGGGGAGATAATGGGGGTCGTGTGTATCTCCATAGGGTCGGATTTAATGACGAGTTTACACGTTATTAGCATTTACAATTTTTTTTTATAAAACTTAACTACTCAATTCTACCCTCAAAATTAAGCTTTTTGCCATTTTATAACAGTTAAAAATATAACAAGTTTTAAAAATAAAATATAACAGATGGCGCAGCTAAAATTTTAAATGTTGCTGGGAAAGTTGAGCAACTTGTCGTTGGTTTATTTTAGATATTCTTTTTCATTTGTTTTCTTTTATTTGTACACTGTACGGGATACGTGGGAGGAGTTTCTACGAGAAACTGATCCTTAATTAGATGTTACTAACATGAAGAAAACCCGGAAAAATCCACGTGACCCGTTGGTGAGGCACGAACCCACGACCAGTGTTCAGTGGTTTTTATGCACTCGGCCACTGGTGGGCCATTCTTTTTCATAAGTTGGTCTACGTGAATATTTTTAACATTAAAACAAATAAATAAAATAAATCTATTATCCACAAATTGAGATTTATAAATAGAACATAATTTAATAGTCATTCGATTGTTCCCAATAAAAAAAGAGTACTTAATGAACTAACTGAGAAGGTTATATTTACTGTTATACGTACACACATCAGTAACACAAATAGATTTATTTATATTAAATAAAGCATAAATACAGTATAGATCCGAAGTTTTCGATATTGAAATGTTACGTTTTTTTATAAGTTGTAATTTATGCTTTTGTATGCATATTTTTCGTGTAATTAATTATTATTTTTATCCATAACAAGTTTAGAAGTAATTTTAATTTAAATAAATGAATATATATTAATATAGGGTACATGAATTATATTTAATGATACATTTTTATATATCATTTAAATCATAACTTATAATTTTTTTGTATTTTGTTTTAATATTTATACAAACTTAAAACTTGCATTCGCTACAATTATTTTACAGCTTGGGTTTCTATTATAAAATAACAATGGCATTCATTTCTAAAGTATTTTTTTATTCGCCGATAAAATACTCTAAGTGTAAGTCAATGAGTATAAATTATTCAATGTACAGTATAATAGGCGTACATTATAATAATAGTTTATTCATATTTATACATTATAATACGTCCTGTAAATTACGTTGCAAGTTTGTTATTAAATATAAGTTTTTAAAACACATTCGATTTAACAAACTTTCGGCAATAGCGAACACACTTTCTCCTATTAGTTCGTTAAATCGAGTGCCTACTGTACTACTACTACTTCGGAATTTTTAAATATAAAACATGGCTATAATTAGAAAACAAATATATCGTTATTTTAATTTTGTACGGGCTCATTTTTCCGTTAACACATTATTAATAATTATAACGAAAAATTTCCNGTACTCGTAGCGCCATCTGTTGGACATAAAAGCCTTAACCTAGATTATATATTTTAATTTATATGAATGTTTAATGGAATAATATACAGCCTATGTCCACCCTGAAGTTCCATTCTAAACATTGGTGAAAGAATTTTTGAAATCGGATGAGTAGTTTCGGAGATTACCTGCAGCATACAAACTTACATACTTACAAACATTACCTCTTTATAATATTAGTTTAGATGAAAACGTTAAAAGATGAATTTTTTAAAAATTATTGCATATAAAAAAAGGAGATTTGTATCGATTAATTCGGAAAATTTGCCATTCATCTTTAATCAGTTCGAAAGGAATGGAGTTTCTTATCGTAGATTCTCTATAATTTGATGTTTCTTTCACGTCTGTTGTAATGTCTAAATTATACGTCAGAGCATTTTTATTATTGTTGCATTTCGAAATTTTTATCTAAAAAAATCTGATTAATTGTAGAAAAAGTGCGAAAAATGAATGGAAGTTGATAATTAACGTCTTATTAGTTTGACCGCAATTGGATAAGTGGATAAGAGGAGAAAGATAATAATGGGTTATTAACAGACATTTCTCCCTAGCTAATTGTCTATGACAAGTAAAATAATATTATTCGCATGCAAAAATAGGCCCTACATATTTTAATATCGAATGGAATAATCGCTATCTCGTAAATCGTCTTCCGATTTGTGTTAAGAAGAAAAACAACTTTTTCTCTCGGCACAGACAAGAAACTATGGAGTGTAAAGTTACAATCCTTTAATTAGATTCTGATCCTGACCTCGTAACTTCAACGGGCAATGTCACGTGACAGGGGAGCATCGAATAGCGAGAGCTGGCACATTGCACTTACAACTGTTCATCCGAATGGAAAACACACACACAAACACACTAAGAGCTCATTTAACGGTAATTTAATTAGCTTTCTCTCCGTTCTAGTTTTTACGTATGTAAGTAAATATTAAAGTATTAGACGATTCGAACTAGGCCCTTATCGCTGTGTTAAAAATTCTAGACCTAGGATAACTTACTAATGTAGGGAATACGAACTTTGAAGAACCGCCAAAATTCTTTCTTTTAATACAATTAGCAGTGTAAATTCTATCTCAACATGTAAACACCCAAAAGCAGACATTGGTCATAATACTCTCCGGGCTTCAGGGTGTGTCTCGCTAACTTTAAATCAGAAACAGTCTATCTCGGGTTACTCCCACTATAGTGATGTCCTGACATGGAAATAACACGAAATAAATCTGATATTATCGAAATAATTAATGCTTTGTCGAAAACTCGAAACTTATCTTCAATACTTTGGACACTTTTAAAAGTTTCCTAATCTTTTCACGGCGGGAAAGATTAACGAAGTTACTACTCTCCAGTTATTGTCATCTGCAAGTTTGACGATGTTACTCCTCGCTGACACACATGTCCCACATCATCCAATCTACCCACAATGTACTCTTCTAAGAATCACATCTGCATTTTTCATTTATAAATGCATCCAGCAATGATATACGCTCACTATGACAAAGCCAAGTAAGTAAACGGCTGTTTAAATTCTTGTAAAATACTTAAATTCGAATTTAAAATCATCATTTTCCGTGCCTTAATAAATGGTTGTGACCTTATCTTACTCTTAAGCTATGATTTTAAGTTATATAAAAAATATAAAGATGTATATATACTCGTCTGCGTAAGAAAATAAATTTGTTCTTTGATCGTTCATTTATAAATCCCTATCAGTTCTAAGAATTAAACGGTGAATTCGATGACAGATGCGTGTTTAATTTACTTGCTACAACAGGGGGGAGGGAAAAAGAGAATAAAAAAATTCCCTACCTGAAAGTTTTCACTGCAGTACACCTCGGCGACGGCTGGGTTACTGTAGATCTTCAGTTCTTGAAGTGCACCCTTAAAAGCCAAAAGAAAAAGAAGACTGTAAACATACTTGGTGACGGGACGGTAAGTTAAGCCCACGACCGGCAGGCCGGCCGAAGGACAGTGGAGACTGCCTGCTCTATCTGGCTGAAGCATGGCCAATACTGACTTCAGATCAAGGCAACAACCGTGCACGGGATGGAGGGAAGGAAATACCGGTCACGTGACACCGGTACCACGTGGCACGAGCCAACAACCGTCGGTAGGTGGTCGACAATCGCTTAGTCGACTGTCGTAAGAAAACAGGTTTGTCGCCGGCGAGAACGAGAAACACCGCTGTGGATCCGACGCTTTCGCAAAGAAAATGACCGAACATGCCGATAAAACACTTATTTTAGAAACGGGTCGAGCCACGCTACTTACGACCACGGCGACTTTTTATCGTCGCAGATGCGATTCTGCTTACAAACCGATATCCGACTGTAAGGGCCGTGTCCAAAAATAGACACCGCCAGTCCGACTTTTGTATAAAAGAGGCTCCGAGTTTTTATCCACAATTTATTTATTTCTACATCGGGCGAAGTTTCGGCTGTAATTTTTACTAAGTAAACTATTTCCAGGTGAGAGAGTAATTCATTATTCCCGATAAACAAAAGATAACACACGTGTGTGTGTGTGTGCGCGCGCGCGCGAGTGCGTATGTATGTATTTTCGTAACAATAACCATATTTAACGAAAATTCGATTACATAGTAATTGTTATAGAGAATTTAATCATATTTCGAAGGACTAAACGAGATAAAAATCTCCATCCTTCTCATATAAAGGCAGTCTCCACACAAAATTAATATACAGTATTATAAAAGTAATTTTGGTATAAAACACGATACGATTATTTAACCATCAACAATATAAGTAGTTAATCAAGTATCTCTACAAAGAACTTTCTGTTTATAATTTATGATTAGATAAATTAGATAACAAGCGCAGTTTTAACGATACGACAATCTGAATTCATTATTTTTTTAAAAATAATTCTCTCATCCAATTATTCTTTAGTAAAAATCGATAAATAAATTTGAATCACTAATTAATTAACTAACAGATTTTTATATTCATTCGCTTAAACTTAAATCCCGTCCGTCCGAATCCATACATAATTCATTAGGGTTATAATTAAGGAAATCTTCAAAATTTCAATGCGTGGCCTAATATAAAACATATGTTAGGCGGGATGATGTAGGCCCACTATTTTTTTTATTTTTTTATTTTTATTTTTTAGATTAGTTACCACTACCGATAGTCGAACGAATTATAGGTCAACATTACTTATCTCTCTTCCAGTGTCCTTGGGGAACGTAAACGTGACGTAAAGTTTTTACAGCATATGGAGAGGCGAGTATGTCACGTTTCTTGATAATAAATCCCGTAATGAAAAAGGAATACGCGTGGTTTGGGCTAAAATTCCGATATGTATCTCTTAAGCTTAAAATAGGCGGTTTAAGGAAGAACCGTTTGTTTCCGGTTTGAAGAATTTGTATCTATAGAATTTAATTAATTATACCTGCAGGAGTTTTAATGGTAAACTTAGATTAAATCAAACAGGGGGACGAAAACGATATTAGGTTTCGAACTATGTTATTTAGATGTAAACTGATAGGGTGTTTTTATGTTCAAATTATGTGATAGCATCTTTAAATATTGAAGAAATTTAAAGGTAAAAAAAAAAAATACGTATACTTAATGTGATATAAAGAGTGAAGAAGAGTATGGACTTTTACTAATATAAACAAGAGCGCCCTGTAATATTTGCATGTTACGTCGTTTTGCGTTTAAATATTCACGTAAAAAAAAGGTCAACAATTTTTTTGGAAACGGGTTTATACGTAATTACTGACTATTAAATTTTATTTCAAAAGGAAGAAAATGGCATTAAAAATTGGCTCATGCTGGAATCCAAGCGAAGAGAACTACATCCTGATCTTCAGCGATTTCTCACGTTCACACGTGATTAGAAGAGAGGGGTCGTGGGAGGGCAGACAATCATCTACTGTCAACGAAAGTTAGCTGGGTTCTCGTTAACGAGGAAATCAGGGCCCTCGGTTTTAGAGACGAGACCTGACAAGCAAATTCGTTCATCAGCAAATATGAGAACTAACTATAGGTGAGAATACCAATTTTCCTGCTGCTTCTATAAAAACACAAGAGTGGTAGTACTTAATCTTCTTAAAACTACAAATTTTCTCTTGCAAAAAATACTATTTTTAGTTAGCTTTCAACATACATTGACCTACCGCATAGATCCCTAACGGCTAAGGGGAGTTGCGTGTCTCCAATATGTAATTTTGCTTTCTAATTTCCAATTTTAGTGTTCAACCCAAACTAGATACTGCCCGAACTTGGATTATTAATAATGGATCTCCGATGAAACGAGTGAACTGAATCGTTTTTTTTTCCTCCCCTTCTCTTCCCTTTCCGAAAAAATGAATCGTTCTATTGTATTCTTTTCAAGTTTACAAAGACTCGTTACCTTTGAAAACCCGAAACGTTCAGGTATAATTAAAAGCGCTTTTTAAGTATCAAAAGTATCTATCGTATGAGAAAGAACTTTATCTGATGGAAACTTGTTAGGTGGGTCACGTACACCACAAGATCACACGCGACTTTCGTTTCGTTGCTAAGCAACCTAGAGATGGAGATTATCTAGTTTTATATACTGTACTTATATATATATATATACATATAGGCTATATACAACAATTAACTGTTCGTATGTATGACGCCATTTTAACTATTATTGTTTCACACAAGAAATAATACAACGTCCTCGCGAAGTGACTAAGTATTATTTATAATTATCTTATTCATAGAAGTCGTTAAATATTTTTTTAAAAAATAGAATAAATTATTAATNTCAATAATATATTCAGTAAAATCTGCTCAAAACAGAACCTGAATAAGAAGGAAACACTGTCTAAACAGAAAAAAAAATTCTTCGGAATGATGCGATTTTTCTATATTAAAAAATACCTGTTCAAAACGGAAACCTGCCAAACTGGAAATATACTCGGTACAGTATAGTTCCGGTTTACACAGGTTTCTTGTACACAAAACATTTTTTAAAACATCCCAAACTTTGGGAAATTTTTAATTAAATCTTATACTCGATGATGTCATAAATACAATTTTATTAAAGTAAAACCTGTGTAAACCGGATTCACACGGTACCGAATTTCTTGCGGTTTAGCAGGATTCCGTTTTGAACAGGTTTCTTTTAAGTTAATAAATCGCTCCGTTCGGAAAGAACATTTTCCGTTTAGGCAGGTTTCCGTTTTATTCAGGTTACGTTTTGGATAGTTTCATTGTATGTATACAGTATAATATATATAATAAAAATAATATGTTAATAACATTAAATTTGTGTCCGTATAATTATAATATTACACTTTAATTTGTATAGACCTAGTATTTCTTATATAAACGCAATATTTATTATTATTTATGTAATTTTACATTTGGATTAAGTATAAATATTTTGCATATGAAATTCGTAAGATAATATTACACTTATAGTCTCATCGTGAAAGACGAAACCGCCCTGTCTAAACTCATTACGAAACAATAACGAAAAGAAATCATTTATATTACTCGATATGTACAGTAAAACCTGTTCAAAACGAAAACTAAATAAAAAAGAAACCTGCCTAAACGGAAAAACTTCGATACGGAACGATTTTCTACATTAAAAAAAAGACCTATATAAAACGGAAACCTGCCTAAACAGAAAGAAATATTCGGTACCGTCCGATTCCGGTTTACACGGGTTTTACTTTATACCTGTTCAAAACGGAACACGAATTAAAAGGAAACCTGCCGAGACGGAAAAAATTCTTCGAAAAGGAGCAATTTTCTGTGTTAAAAAACAACCTGTCCGAAACGTAAACCTGCCAAACCGGAAAACACAGTAAAACCCGCGTTAACGGGAATCGCACGGTACCAAATATATTTTTTCCGTTTCGGCAGGTTTTATCGTATTCGTATACCGCGCGATTCCGGCTTACACAGGTTTCACTATAATAAATATTGTATTTATCAACAGGACGTCAGTTTACGACATTTATTAACGTCATCCTTTACAATAAACACTAAAATTAAAAGGTATTACAGTAGGCTATATACAATTCCAAACTGTTGAATTATTTATAAGTTGCTAAGTGTAATATTGTTTAAGGAAAAATAACCCTAGACGAGTTTGGAAGACATTCAAAATTACTAAATACCATATTTTATCTTCACTTCCTGGTCTATCGTAAAATTTAAATACTCTTAATTGCCACTCCGATAAGTAATTCATTTTTTTTTCTCTCTCTCTCTCTCTTGTACTTTAATGAATGCATTAAAAGTTGATTTATTGGAACTATTATTAAATGCGTATGAATTTTTTAAAAAGGGAAGTCAAAGATCTATAATTTAAGTGACAAAGCCGGAAATGAGAACACAGCCAAGGCTATAAGTTGTAATAGTCAACATCATTCAATGTAAGGTTTTCACTGGGTTGATGTATTAGACAAGTCAAGGACTGATACTCCTATTCCTAGCTTTGATTGTTACTTGAAACTTTGAACTGTTCGTATTATTGGTTATTGTTTGTAGTAAATAGCACGGAATAATAAAATTGTGTACGAATTATAAGGATTTTTATATAAATTTTTTTTAATGTACGACGTGCAAATATATACCGTATATATTTTTTTTCCTAGACATTTTCGGAGGTGTAAAATTGCAGTATAATGGAGGTACGTGAAAGATTTCTTTGTAATAATTAAGCTTTTTTTCGTAAAAACGGGTATTGTATGAAAATTAAAGTCAAACTTAGTAACAGCAGGGGAGAAGGAATTTTGGCTGAGTGCCTTGAACGTTGAAACGAAAACGATTCTGATACACATCCCATGGTGAACGAATTGATACCACCTACAATGCCAAAAGGGTTAAATTTCAATTAACTTCTAAAGACCTCCGTTGGGAGCCGTCTTG